CACACCAAAGCAATTTTTTCTTTCCGTCCTTTTTTGTGGTTTCTTTGGATTATTTTTTTAAGAAGGTTTTGATGGCAGCTGTAAACCGGGCAATCCAGTTATGGGAGTGAAACTGCAAGATTACTGAACTAAAATGTCTGCTTGTGCTTGAAACGGGATACAGGCTTCTGTTAAGATTACCTTGATCTCTAGCAGCTCCCTCGAAATCACTGATACTCACGCAGAACGCACAGAGCCAGCGTCCCCGCCTCAGGCTTTCCTCCTCCAGCAGCCAGCACCCCAGGGGACGGGGCTGGGATTAGCTGGGACCGCACCCCTGCAGTTTCCTTGCCCTGGGGAGAGTGCAAACCGGGTAGTTGATTTTAGTTCTACAGTCACAAAAGTGTAGTAACTCCAGCCAAGAAAAAGGTCGATTATAGGCTGTAAAGTCATCTGTTTGTTTAGACATCTTAGGTATTATTCTTATCTGCACTGCTTACTGCAAACAGCTGACTAACTGAAAAGTGGTGGAGTAGAACAAACACGCAGTGAGTAATGATGAACTTTTGCATACTATGTAAAACTTCTTACTTCCTTTGGGAAGTGTTTGCATTCTGCTGCCCTGCACCACAGCTCTTTATGACATGTTCTTCATTTCCTGACAGCTTTAGGGCAGTGCGGCAGCGCGCACAAAGAATCAGCTGTCTTGATATACAAATTCAAACGCCCATCCCATCAGCAAGTGTTGCTGTATTTCTTAGTGCCAGACCCTGGACTGGTACTCAAGCAGCTGGGTTTAGCCTTAGAATTGTGTATATGGGAGGGTAAGAGTCAGATGTCAAACAACCTCTGGGTAAAATGCAGGAGTTTAGGGAGCCCATGCTGAATCTCCAGACAGACGGACTCTCTGGTCAGTGGCTGTGACATTCCCTTCTTTACAGGGGCAACCTTCACAGGAGAGCACTTCCCCATCATCCCTGTCTCCTGCCCAGTTGCTCGCTCCCTCCCCATGCCTGCCCCAGCCTGCAGGCTGCTGGGCACCCTTACACCAGGAGAGCCCGAGCCCCCCCCTCACAGCCATCGGCCTGTGACCTCCCACACTCCAGGCGTGTGCTGGAATTTCTACTGATGTTACTGCCTGGGATACAGAACCTGCGCTTCCTCTCTGCGGCATTTAAAAAGAAAAAAAATGCTGTGGAGGTTCCAAGGTTATGTGGTAACTGAATGGCAGTTTTGGGTATTGTAATGCTGGATTTTGGCACCTAACTTTCATCTGAGTCCCACTTTACCTCTCTAAGCGTGTTTTGTATCTGGCCCTACTGGTCTCTAAAAGATTCATTTCTTTCCAAATGACACTACTACTTATTTTCTGAAGGGCTAATCCAAAAAGAGTGAAAGAAATGGGTTAGCTCTTCAACTAGAAAGCCTCAACGGCCTTTAATCGCTTGACGAAAGCACTGGTGAAAATGTGGGAGGCAGCAACTTTTGTTTCTGGGATGCAGCCAGCGTGTGCTGAAATCTCACAGCAAAGCGACCGCCCATGCGGTTGTTCAGCCATCAGAAGAGAAAAAGCAGGCTGAGGAGGCTGGGAAGGAGATAAACCACTTCCCTTTTGTTCCCGTATCGGTTTCAAATTCGTGCTTTTTTATTATATCTATTTCTAACTTGGGCTCACAATCTGATTTGAAAACTTACTAAAACTCTGCATATACATAAAAAAAACTTTTAAACGAAAGGAGTGTACGCAATGCACAATATCTTCAACGGCAGAAAGTTGCTGCAGCTTTCGAGACTGTGACCTGGATATATGATATGCACTGCGTAGGGAATCCTGAAAGTATACATTATGTGCACAACTTACAGGTAGGTCCCCAAGTGGTAAATGCAAAAACTGTCTATATTAGATTCCTTCCCAAAGACAGATAGTAGAGAATGAAATTTTTCAAAGCATCTAGCTGATAGACAGAAAAGCTCCATTTTCCACATGATTTAAGACTCAGGGCCATATTTTCAGGGTTGCTTAGGTGCCAGAAGGTTTAGACAATCCTCTTAACAGGACTTTCAAAAGTTGGGATCTCAGGTTTTAAGTTGTGAGTGGTTTTGAACAGGCCCTGGGGTACATACCTGAGACAATGATGAGCACAAAGATATCTTTGAAATCAGGCCCTCCAATCCCACCAATTTTCTGCATTTAAATATTTTTTTAAAGTATGAAATCAGCTCCATGCTTTTGCAAAAACCCATCAGTGGAAAGCAAGACTTCATAAGGGCTACAAACTATCTGCCCTCCTTCAGCACACACAGTTAAGGATTATGCTTTGGTGCTGAACATCCTAAGTGTGATCACTGCTAGTAATTTCTGGTGATGCTTGCTACCTACACCCACTGCCTTCTAGACATTTTTATTATTTTTTCGTTTATTATTTTTTGTTTTATTAAATAGTGTTTGAACGCCAAACCAACAGAAACACTGTGGCATACCTGGTTATTGTATTGATATTTCAGGAATAAAATGGTCCGGCCATTGTGTGGTTCCCCATTTCCTTATTTCTTTTGGCAGCACTTGTTGCTTGCAGTGAGTCATGGAACAGAAAACCCAGAAAAAAGAAAAATCAGTTTAACAGGTTGACCTGACTCACTGTAATGCCTTATGATTGATCAGCAGTGAAAATGCAAGGTGGGAGGGAAAAAGGCCTGTGCCTTTTGAAGGAAGGGTGGTCCTGGATCACTTAGGCATCCTGTGAAACCATCGAGTCAGACAATGGCTCCTTAAACTCTGAATATACAAGAAACCTCAAGGCTGGGGTATTGCGTGGACCTCCTGTGTGCCTGCCACGACGCAAGGCCTTCCACAGATAGCGCCTTCTGGGAGAGCAGACTGCTGTCCCACCCCTAACACAGGCCACTGTGTAATTTACACAAATTCAGTGCCTCAACCAACCATGAGTCTGTCCAATTACAGAGATCTGCAAAATCATCTTTGGCATTCTGGATGTGGTACTTACACAGCTTTAGGTATGGTTGGCTTCACCACTGCACATGCTGGGTGAGGCTGGGAAGAGCGAGCGTGTAATTAGAAGGCAAAATCCAGCAACGGCCACTGCAGTTCTTGGTGTTTCTGGCTCTTGTTGAATACTGGCTCTAATTGCATCTTCTATAGGCATAAAAGCATTTATCCAAGATACATAATGCTGTGAGGAAATTAAAGGCTTAGAAAATACAGCTTTTAAACTGAACCTTGTGACCTGGTGCATTATATGTACTTACAAGCTGTTTAAAGGCGTCCTCTGGTGCGCTGTGCCCGTGCTCTTTGTTCCCACTACTCTGCATTGTGAGATTAAAAACTGAACTAAACATTTCAGACTTTGGAAAGCAACCAGGCACATTTTTAGGTCTTGCTCCTGACTAAAAATATGCTTCTCGAAGCAGTAATGCCACACAAGTACAAATAAGGGCCTAATACTGTAATGTCAACCTGAACACAAGCCCAGCACCTGAACTGACTCACTTTACTTGATTGACTTTATGATTAAGAAATCCTGTCATGAAACCGCTGTTGCGTTACCGTTGCCCAAGTAACAAAACTCCTTATGAGTTCAGTGCATAAAATGGTTACTTAGGCAGTAAAAGCTGAATATACAAAAAATTAACCTGGAAGAAGGCCTGAGATTATATTAATGAACAAAAAATATGTAAAATATATGTACTGAACAAACAGCCAGTTGGAAACTATCTCAGATTATTGAAGGAAGCAATGAGGAGACGGGGCTGTTTGAGACATGGAAATGGCACCAGCCCTGGGAGAAGGGACAGCAGCTGCGCCTGGAGCCTCACGCCCTCCCCGGCGCCGTCGGGCTCTGCTCCTGGGAGATGTCCTCTGCTTCAGAGATCCTGAGGGACCCTAGACTAGATTCAGCCGGACTGATGGACCAAGGCAGCATTTCCTTTCTGACACCCGGAATGAAAGACTTAAGTTTCTTCTGCCATCTTTTCCTGCCTCTTTTCCCCTTCCTCAGGCTTTATTCTTATTTCTTTCTCTCTCCCAACTACTACTTATGAAGAACCCAGGATCATTAGCCAAAACAATGTTCTTGCCAGCTCTGAGTCTGTAATCAGGACAGCGAACAGCATTATCCGTTATTGCCTGAGACCAGCTTAAATTTGCCCTGTAGGCAGGAGGACGGTGTGCTGTTCTTAACACCCCTGCAGGATCAAAAGTAAGAGCAAATTTACTCTCAGTAAAGAAGAATCAGCAACTGTGCTGGTTTTGACTGGGGTAGAGTTAATTTCCTTCATAGCAGCTAGCATGGAGCTGCGTTTTGGGTTTGTGCTAGAAACAGGGTTGAAAACATGGGGATGTTTTAGTTACTGCTGAGCAGGGCTGACACAGAGTCAAGGCCTTTTCTGCTCCTCACCGCAGCCCACCAGCGAGCGGCGGGGGGGGCACAAGGAGCTGGGAGGGGGCACAGCCAGGACAGCTGACCCCAACTGAGCCAGGGATATCCCACACCGTATGATGTCATGCTCAGAAATAAACCTGGGTGGGTGTGGATGTTGGCAGGGGCTGCCATTGCTCAGGGACCGGCTGGGCATCGCTCAGTTGGTGGTAAGCAATGGTTTTCTTTTGCTTCACTTGTGTTTCTTGGTTGGTTTTTTCCCTAGGGTTTGTTTTTTTTTTCCGTATTTAAAAAAAATTAAACTGTGTTTATATTAATGCACTAATTTTCTCAGGTTTTCTCTTCAGATTGTCCCCCCCTCCTCCCCACTGCGGGGGGAGCGAGCTGGGGGCTGTGTGGTGACGTAGCGTCCAGCCCGTGTTAAATCACGACACTGACCCACCAAAGGGATATTAATTTGCGCCACTTTCTTTCCCCTCCCCTCTCATGAAACATCAACTACTATAAAACATAGACAGGAAAAGGAAAAAAAAAAAACCAAAACAAAACCACAAACAACCCCAAACACTTTCCTGTATCTAACCGAAGAAATCGAATTGTTTAGAAAGGGGTAGCTTTTCCAAAATGGCACTGAGGGAGGGCGCAGGTTAGTTAACAGAGTTAATCGTTATTGGCGTTTTGGAGGTCGGTCGCTCGTTTCTCCCTGCGTAGCGGAAAAGCAAAGGGTTTCATGGAGATCTCACTGAGGGAAAGACCTTCAACCCTGAGGGAACGA